GGGGGGCGGGGGGCCGGGAGGCAGGTTGGCACGAGTTGTCGGGACCCTGGACCCAGAAGCCCCATAGCCTGTCTGGGGACAGCACTCTGACTGGCTGTGAGCAAGGCAGGGCTCCGGGCTACCGCGGGAGCTGTCCAGTTTCCTTACCCGGCGGGCTCCAGCAGAAACTCAGCAGGTGCCCTGCAGAAGCCACAATGAAATCATCTGGTCTTTGTACTGGGACACAGAACAATTCATCACGATTAATAGCATTTCACCCGTGGAAGGTGCGGGAACCAAGGGCTTTCACACAGCAGCCAGGGGCTGTCATCAAGATTTTACTGCTGTTGAAGTTATGACTACCTATGGTTAGGTCACTAATGAGCTGTTCCCATCACGGGGTATGCTTTTACTTGATTTTTATTTATTTATTTCATCAGGCAGGCGGATTTACATTTCAGACCACCAACTCTGCATTAATAGTTCAAACTACTCCTCAGCCCACCCACCTATTCTATTCCACACTGCCTCCCGTGATTTCTCTCCTCCCTCTTACGGGTCTCCATTCTCCTTTTCACCCAAGTCAATGCCTGAACCTTCAAGTCCCTTGCTTGTCTTCCCGCCATTCCTTGGGAACCTCCAATCTGTTCCCTTTGATATGACTTTTATGTGGTGGCTTTTGTCCTTAGAGTAGTGATCTCATGCAATATTTGCCCTTTGGTGATTGACTAGCTTCACTCAGCATAATGTTCTCCAGGTTCATCCATGTCTTGAGGTGTGTGGCAGTTACATAATCTCCTGTCAATGTGAGCAAAGGGGTGGAGTCTAGCCTGTCAATCAGGTCATAGCCAGTCATGCCTCTGTGTGGGCATGGCTTCCTTCTGAGAAATCTGGGGACTCTGTCTTCCTCCCTGGGGGCGGGACATACCCTCTCTCTGTTTGACATTCTTGTTGACACGCACATGGAGCCATGCTGGTGGAGCCAGAGTCCTGGAGCTGGAGGAGCCACATGGAGACCCATGTGCCAGTGCTGAGATGCCACATGGCACCCATGTGCCAGTGCTGAGATGCTTCCACTGCCACTGGATCCACAAGACTTTCCACCCATGGCCTGTGATCTTCCTGCGTTAGTTATCATTGCATGTGTTGTGTGAGTCCGAAGAGGAATTTATAGACTGGTATCAGGCATATGGGCTAATATCAGACATATGGACTTGATCTGGACTGGGCTGGGATGTTTTCTTAATGTACAATTACCTTTTTATATGAAGCTCTTTCTTATACACATATGAATGTCTCTAGATTTGTTTCTCTAATCAATCCAGACTAACACAAGGTGCCTGATTGTTTCTGGGTTTTTTGTTTTGCTTTGTTTGCAATGCATAGTACTCCCCTGTGTGTACCAGAGTTTCTTTGTTCATTCATTTACTGGTGAGTATTTTGGGTTGATTCCAACTTCTTGCTCTTGTGAACAGTGCTGTGATGAACACGGGTGTGCATATGTCTGTTCGGGTTGTGGCTCTTCTTTAGTGTATACCCAGAGAGGTACTGCTGGATCATATGGAATTTCTAGTCCCAGATGTTTGAGGGTAGGGAGACTTTCAAGGTTTGTTTCTTGGGCACTGTAGTAGTGCCATACCACTTCCTACAATGGCCATACATAATTGCAGAACCACCAGCAGTGTATGTGAGGTCCCATCTCTGCACCTTTTCCAGCATTTGCTGTTTTCTGTTTTGTCATTTTTTTTGGAGGTGGGGGGAACTATTATTGTCAGTATTAGGTAATATCTCACTGTTTAGTTCCTTTCCCTATACAAAGAATTTCCCAGACCTGCTCTAACTTTCTCATTGGAGTCCACACAGGTGTCCACAGGCACTATAAAAAACAAGATTAAGTCACTCCCTAATCTCTATCCTAACTACCTCCTACACATACAGAGTGAGAAAGTTTATTGTGCCAGCCTGGCCAAAAAACACAAGTGGGATTAACTGAAGGGCTGAGAGATAAATGGCTCAGTGAGCCTCGCCTTTCTTGTCTCTCGCTCTTTGATCATCGGACCAGTGTGCGGCTGCCTTGCTTGTGCTGTGCCTCAATTTACAGGCTACACTACCTGTGGGACGCCTAACCTGTGGACTGTGTCGCTGTAAGTTGAGGTCCCTTTAAGACATCTCTGGAGCTGGGGACTGGCGGTTGGTGACCTGGCTGACAGTTGGTGACCTGCCTTGTGATTGGCTGCTGTGCTGATATAGCCTAGCTCGCTCTCTATATAGAGGAAGACCTGGCAGTAGACTAGACTTGAAGGACTGCTAGTCTCTCACAACTCTATCTCATGGGAGTGAGTTGCACTGAGCCATTTGTAGTGCTTTATAATATAACTGTTCATTTCTTGTATTATATATTTATCTGTATATGATTTAACAGTTCATTTCTTGTTATATATCTAATTATCTTTATAAATAAATATATTAAATTATCAGCAATTTGGTTTTTATCTCTCTAGAGAACCCTAACACACAGAGACACACACGCACAAACACACACACATACATACATGTGTGTAAGGTCAGGTTGACTAGAGGAACAAATCCAGAGCACTCATATGTTTAAAAAGGAGCTTTATCTCAAGAAGTAATTGTATATCAGAAAAACGTCCCGGCCCAGTCCAACTCAAGTCTTGAAGTCTCATACTAGTCCATTAGTCCCTCTTCAGACTCACTCAGTCACAAGCAATGATGCCCAATGCAGGAATATCACCGGCTGGTGGTTGCAAAGTGTTGTGGATCTAATGGCAGTGGATGCATCTCCAGGGCATGGCTCTCAGCATGGCTCTCAGCATGAGCCAGGTCTCAGCATGGCTCATCAACAGGAAGGTGAAGGCAGAGAGAAAGTTGCCCACCTCCAGAGAGCCATTTATCTTGATAGCACCTACAAATGAGGTCATCAAGTTGCAACACGATTGACAGGCTAAATTTCACCCATATCTTTTTACGGGTACCATGTTGGCACACACACACACACACACACACACACAACTCCCACCTAACTATCGCACACACACTCCTGTGCGACCATTCAGTTAATGGCATCAACATCTTCCAATACTCAAGGCAGAAACCTCAGGTTCCTATTCAACTCTTTCCTTTCCCTCATCATCACATCTAACCATTCAGTGACCAAATCCTATTGCTTCCGCAATCTGCATTACCTCTCAAATTGGTCCCATCCTTCTCACTTCTACAAGGAACCCAGGTGGTGTAGTGTCATGGGCTGGGCGCTGATTTGTGTGGTTGGCAGTTCAAAACCACTTGCAGCTCTGTGGGAGAAAGACTGGGCTTTCAACCCTTGTGAGCAGTTCCAGTCTTGGAAACCCACAGTGGTGTCTATGAGTCAGCATTGGCTCAGTGGCAATGAGTTTGTCTCCCTACTTCCACAGCATCTCCTGTCTAGACCCTTGCAATACTCTCATAACTGGTTGTGTTATTTTCCATACCCCTTTGCTCCATTCTACATAACAACTGGCAGCATGTTGATGATTATGTCACTTCCCTGTCAGTAACCTTTACATACAGATCTAATTACTCAGCCTGATCCCACACCCTCTACATTGAATCCTTACCTATTTTGCCAGGCCCCCCCATCCCATCGTAGGTACTCTGGTGTCATAGTGGTTATTCATTGGGTTGCTAAGTGCGTGGCCAGCAGTTCAAAATCAACAGCTGCTCCTCCGGAGGACAGGTAAAGAGTTAATCTCAGAAACTAACAGGGGCAGTTCTATCCTGTTCTAGAGGGTCATTGTGAGTCCAAACCGACTCAATGGCAGTGAGGTTTTTGTTTGTCATCCCATCTTATTGAATAAAGCTCTCAGACCCATTATGTTAAGCATACTAATATTTTCAGGAGAACACAAAGCTTTCGTGTTGTA